CCTTGAACCACAAAGTTGACAGCCTGCCTCTCTGCCTGGTTTCGGAGGGTCCAGTCGGGTGACAGGATGTGTGGAAGATGGCGTCGACGCCCCATGATAGATACAACACAGCCTGGATAACAGAAAAAAAAACAGGCTCTGGAGACCAAGATGACCCATTAAAAATACATGTATCATTGGGAACTTCATTGGCAAAGACTGGTATTCGATGTTGTCCTAGTAGTAAGAATCTGTATAGATTAATTGGAACATATTATGTCAAACATTTAAATCATGAAAATACTTGAGTACAAGAAATTTCTGAATTTTAAACCAGTGCAAACCCCCACCTGATCAGAGAGTACCAATAGAGGTTAACTTTTCCCTGAACAATTAGGTGATGCGGAAAGAGACATTTAAAAGTATCTGTCACATAAACCATAAACACACAAGCCAAAAAACACAACTATCAGAGTGAGTCCAACACAATCCAACCTCCCCCCTAACATGTTTGTCCACTCTGATGCACTCTGAAGTGGACAAAAATCTTTGGAAGAGAAAATAATTCTTCTTTTATTAACTAAATGTTCCTCATCAGCTGAGGCTACCCTCTGAACTGATACTGAAAGGGTTCCTGAATGGTGAAGGCAGATCCCTGGGTGCCCACTCCCTAATGAGGTTTGGCTTCTCCAGGGGGAATACAGTGGTATAACGGGTGGTAGACACAACTCACTCTCTCTCTTCTGTATTATTACTCTGTCGCTTTACTTTGGATTACTTGAAGCCTCTGTTTAGGTAGACCACATGGTCACTTGAGCTGGTTTCTTGATCTTCAAGAAACCTTCCAGTCTTGTAAGCTGTGGAGTCACTTTGGGTCTCACATGGGGTCTGCTTAATTAGCTAGATAATGTAGCTACTGCTTGCATTTCCTGGCAACAATTAACCTATTTTAGGTAACTTCTTTTATAGGAACATCTTACCCCAGGCACTTACAATGGCCAAAAGGTATATACTTCACTTGAACCCAGACAAAACTAATTCTCTGTTGAATCATCTTAGAAAAACAATATTTAACAGTGACCAGATCATTCTGAATAAGGACAGTAAACTGTCCTTCACGGGGATGGGAAATACAAATGAATTCTCATGGCAGTATATACACTGCAGTACAGTAAACAGGACTGCATCTTCTCCAGATGATTCTTAGAGGAAACAGGAAGAGAAAACTAGAGGAAACGTATCTGGGTCCTGAGAGAGACCTCCTTCAGCAGACCAGTCTGTCTAGATAATCTGGACACTTGAAGAGTATTGTACTGTAGGCTTTAAGTAAAGAGATTACTTGTCTTATGCAATTTTGTGGAAATGCTTATTTCCTATTTGTGGAATCCACAGGCTAAAGAAATCTCTCTTTGTATGCAGAGGCATTTTTTGGAATAGTAAGAGAGATTCACCATTTGTGTAGCTTCTGTTTAAGAGAGTGAATTAGTCCTACATAGGAACCTCGTGTGAAAGGATGCAAATTCCCTCTTTGCTCATTTATGGTGGCTTCTGACTCTTACTGAGAGTTCTGCATTTTCTATTTCTCTGGGAGGCAGGACTCTAATGCTCACAGTATCGTAAATAATATACAGTATCTATGAATAATAGCGAAACTCTGTAATTCTATTATTATTCACCCCCCCAATTATTTCTAAACACATCACTGAGTTTGCTGCTTATGCAATGACATTCAAATTCACAGAGGTTTATTGACAAGACTGACGAATTAGCATCGCCAAAGAAATGGAAATATTTACAAACACTAAGGACAACGATATCATTTCGCTGAGAGGCTCGCTGTCTGTTCCTCAGTCACATACTGAGCTGCCAGCTCTGCTGAGTTTCCTCCTCTCACCCCCAGCAGGCCTGGAAGCTGTTTTGATTCTGGCAGGTATGGGAATTCTGGGATTAAATTTGTTATTATGGAGAAGAATGTTTATCCATTCTATCTATCGTGCATTTTTATGTAAGAAATATTGATTATTTCTTACAGCGTAGCAAAAAGTGCATGTCTTACAGTGTAGCAGAAAGTGCAACTCCGTCTCCAGGCTTCTGTCTGGCGACAGTGCGATCATAGTCTGTCCTCCCTGGGTAGCCCGGTCTTTCTTTTTGTCAACTAGTTTATATGGCCAGGCTGTGGTCACTGAGCCTGTACTTCATCAGGGTCTGTTCCATCTTTTTGTCTCCCCTGCTGGTCAGAAACTCAGCCAGCATGTATTGCATTCCAGTTTGTGTGCTTGATTGTGTGTCCCTGTGTGCGAGGCAGTGTAATTTATTCCGTGCTGCAATTTGGTTGACTTTAACTTGTGGCACCCTAGCTATCCTGCTATGTCCAGGGATATACTCCCAATCAGCAGCCAAAGTGGCTCATCAAAACGAGGGACACGAAATAGCATCATCCTGCACAATCACATGAGGCCTGGTACACAACAACATACATCACAGACCATCAACCAGACCAAAGTCTCACAGTGGCAGAGAATAAAATGTATTTTATGGAGTAATCAAGGAAAACGTCACAGCACATCACCCGCACAATCTAATCAAAAGACTCGTTTCAAACAAAAACTGCAGGGCAAAACCACACACACACACACACACACACACACACACACACACACACACACCGGTCTGTCTCAGTCCTCTACAGAGATCAGAGAGACAAACAGAGCATGGAGACGAGGAAGCGCCCACGTCAGTTTCTGTGCCCGAAGGGGACACTTGGACAGACCACCAGGAAGGGGTTACCAGGAGGCGGCCTGCAAAAACAGGAGGAGAAACCGCTGCTGCTGTGCTGCTCTGGCCATTCCTGGCCCGAGCGGCGTTTCTTGCTGGAGACACTTGTTGTGTCGATCTGCATGTTTATTTTAACTTGCTGTACAGTAAAATGGATAGACTTTATTTTTCATAGAAAAACAAAATTGCTTGGTAACTTTTACTTTGTGACTATATAGGGGCGGAGCGGTGGCTCTGTGGCTCAGGATCTGCGCCTGTGGCAGGAAGGTTGCCGGTTCAAATCCCGCGGCTGGAAGAGGAATTCTACTCCGTTGGGCCCCTGAGCAAGGCCCTTAACCCCAACTGCTCCAGGGGTGCTGTACAATGGCTGACCCTGCGCTCTGACCCCAAGCTTCTCTCCCTGTCTGTGTGTCTCATGGAGAGCAAGCTGGGGTATGCGAAAAAAGATGAATTCCTAATGCAAGAAATTGTGTAGGGCTAATAAAGTGATCTTATTATGTGAGTATTTATCGGACAGGGCAAAGAGATGCCCCTCTCTGTGTGTTGGCAGCACGCACTGCGGTGTAGCGTTGGCCGTTAATGAAATAGCATTGTTCGCCAGCGGAGCCTGACAAAATGCCATTCCTGCATCTCTTTCCACACATTGAGAGTGAATGAATAACTGACTAGTTCACATTACAGTGCGTAAGTAAAACACCGCAGAATGCAAATGCTGTCATTCTTGGTAGCTCTGAAGAAAAGGCGGACTAGGATATGTCTTTTGGGACGGTCATACAATCTGCAGTGTTGGAAGATGCTCATGCACACTTTGACCATCCGTGGCCATAAAAGCCATTGGGATCTTCTCTGATGAGTATTCTTCTTGCTTTGTCATCTAGTTTGGAAATGAAGGTCTGA